CGAGAATTATGGAGGCTGAGTTGGCAATTATAAATGAAAGTTTTGACAGCATTTTGATGTTTGTGGGCATGCTGGGAAAACAGCAGACAGACACTGATGTGAGAAAGATGTTCGAGCCATTTGGCAGCATAGAGGAGTGCACGGTGCACCAGCAAAAGTAACGTCAGATCAGTAACAGACTGTTACGCATTGGTTACGCAGAGCCTTGACATCATATCCGGGTGATAATGTCAGTAAATTTGAGTTAAAACACAGACTTTGCTTATCCCGTGCGAATGCACCGCACAAAACATAGACGTGGTGGGGTAATTACTAAATCACATGAGGTCCCCAGGTAATACTAGTCCCGTGCGAATATGGCTTTTGACAAGAACCAAATTGTGATGGCTAGACGACTGGGTCAGAGCCTCTCTAAAACTGCAGTTCTTGTGGGTGTTCCCGGTCTGCAGTGGTCAGTACCTATCAAAAGTGCTCATTGGAGGGAAAAGCAGTGAACTGGAGACAGGGTCATGGATGCACATGGGTGTCAGAACACAGAGCATTGCAGTTTGTTGCATATGGGACTGCATAACATTATGACCACCAGGGTGCCCAAGTTGTCATAATGTTATGTCTAATCTGTATATTGGTGCTAAAAAGACAGTAAAAGAAAACACAGCTCTGAATCCAATTTCATTGTGGTTCTCTAAACTTCCCAGAACTGCTGGCTAACATCCTGATCAGTGAGGTTTGAAATCTCTACCCTAACAATTCCCTTAGATCCCCTGTAAGGCTTTTCATGGGAAACACTGGTGCAGGAAGAGTCATTAACAATAGCTTGATCACAACAAATAAGGGAAAAAAGCAACAAAGTGGTGAGTATTAGTCATGGAGACATGGAGCAGGTTGTTTTTGTTTCATTTCAAGAGTCAAGGATTTTTTTCACATGATTCTATATGTGCAGTGAAATGTAGAGTGCTGAACTTTGACCACACTTATTCTTCCACAAGGAATAACATCCAAATCAACAAAATCTGAGTAAGTTAACTAAGTCTGGTAGGCGAACACACTCCACTTCTGAAATGCTGAATAATGCTGAATAAAGCCACATGCAGGACAGACAGAAAATAGTGTTGGAAGACACGTCACAGAGCCTTGCTCGGGGAAATTGAGGCATAAGCTGCAGCACACACACTGAGAACCATGGGTGGATCTATCAACCTATCATAACCATGACTTCACAGATGAACAGTGTCATTGAACGGAGGGCTAATGTGACTACACTAGAATTCGTGTGGAACAGCTCATCAGTGTGAAGGTCAATTATTGTTAGATCCCAGTGTGTCTGAAGATTTAAATTATGAATGAAGGTACCTTCTGTGCGAGCAGTGCATAAAATAATGTGCTGTGCATCTAAAAACTGGAGACTACAGATGCAACGCACATATTCCCACTGCTGATGGCTTCAGGTGTTTAAGAGGAGATGAATAAGGTTAAAATGTTAACTTCTCCAATATATTACATCAAGACCATTCTTTTTTGTCCTACAAGTTTTGTAAAATATTATGCAAAAATTAAATATGCAAAAAAGGCATTATCGAATTAAAAATGCACTATTTTTCATACATTACTGTGCAGTGTGCAGAATCACATTTGATTTCTGTGAAGTTCATGTACACCTGACCTGCATGGAGGTTGCTGCGACTGAATTTGCCACTACGCACCATAAGTAAGGACAGGAAACGTTTGAAGATTGACAATAAAAAAATGCAATTCCATAAAACATTTTTTAATTTGCCTTATTTTGCCACCTCATACTAATCCTAAACTGCTGTGTTTAATTTGACAAATGGCAATTGCTGTGTGCAAGGTTGTTAATATTGTCATCATGAGTCAAAACCAAGTGTGAACCTATCATGATTTCATGATTTGTGGAATACTGTTTTGAAGGCTCAAGTTCGGCATTATGACTCCCACAATGTTGGAGCCAGCAGCAGTGACGTAGTGCAAGGTGTGCTGCTCTTATCAACATTGGCGGCTTCCTAGATAAACAGTACAATAAAACATGTTCATGAAAAGATTTTAGGCGAGACCTAAACGTATTAACAGAATTATATTTGATTAGTGCATTGAGCTGGACGGATTTACTGAGGATGACTTGTCAATCACAATGTAGCCACGCACTAACGCATACCCTACTTTATCATCTATTTAACTCTAAATTGGACCATCATTTACTAAATTAACATGCTGTATGGAAGAAGACTTGAATTGCTCTTGTATTGTAGTCTGTAATGAGGCTGCTTCAGTTGAAAAGTCTTCCAAGTGCTTCAATGAAATTAAAATCTATTAAGTCTGTGAAATGCAGGTAAGAATTTTTTTTAAATTTGTGAATATATTTCTAGTTGACATTAAGGGCAATTGGCCACTCCAGCCTCTCTAAATGCATACACCCTCTGTGAAACTGAATTAAAGTCAGTGGTACTTTGCCATAGCTGTCACGTAAATGTGTAGATTATAGTTAAAGTGTCTATATGAGGTGCCACTTAATTTATTCAGAAATGACTTGCTTCCTGGTCCCATTTGAAATTAAAAAATAAAATCTGCTATTAGTCTGAACCAAAGCAGGATTTTTTCCCCCCAAACAAAGTTACAAAGTGAAAGTGAGGAGCTAAATCCAAACTGTCTGCTCCTTTCACAAAAAATCTGACTCATCAGCACTGGATCTTTTCCTTCTTTTGGATCTGCTGATATGAGTCATCAGAAAGGAATCGGGTTGGTATACTTTCACTATCTCTGGGTTATAAAGTCTGCAAACTGTCACCTCTAGCTGCCAGCTGAGAGGTGGGGGGTGTGGAGGGGCAGTGTGAGTGGCTGTGTGATGCAACTTTAATCGTCCACTGAAAATGCTACAGTCAGTCAGCTGTGAATGTGTTCTGGCACAAGGCTACAGATCTTGGTGCTTCGTCTACTTACCCTCGATAAACTGCATTTCATTAGGGCCTGAGCCGTGACCACTTCAAAGCCCTATTGAAATGCAAGGAATTATTATTTTTCTGCCAAAGGAACCGCATTTTTGGCAGCCACAACATGCTCAAAAACTCATGAAAACAAAACATTCAGCGGTGGCAAAATGGCATAACAGTGCCCCCTCAACTCAGCAATTGAGGCACTTTTTACCATATGAAATGCGAATAGGTAAAAAATCAGAGATAAACAAACAAAAAATCCTCTTAGATACAGTTCTGTGAAGACTGTGAAAAGTAAAAAAGCTTCTTTCCATTTGTTGAGATTTGTTTTAAAGCTCCCCTGTAATTGGCTTAGCTGTTTTTTTATGAGAGCGGGGATGGGATTGGCTGAGAGAGTATTTATTAATCACCACGCCCACACACTTTATCTATATTCACCTACATCAGCCCGTTTGCATTCTGTGCTGCTGCACACATATACAAAACAGCTGGTGAAGATGGCCTTACAGTCTGAGCTCCAAAGACCAACCACTTTGCACTGGTAGATATATATGCGTGTATATACACCAATCAACCATAACATTATGACCACCCATAAACAACAAACAGCGATGCACTGCGTGTTCTGACACCTTTATATCAGAACCAATGTTAACTTTTTCAGCAATTTGATCTACAGTACCTTGTCTGTTGGATTTGACCACATGAGCCAGCCTTCACTCCCTACATGCATCAGTGAGCCTTGGCCGCCCATGACCCTGTCTCCGGTTCACCACTTTTCCTTCCTTGGTCCACTTTTTAAGAATATATTACCAGGATTAATGTAACATTGTATTTGTCTAAATAACTTTCAGAGTAAAGGACTGCTTCAGAAGACACCAGTCAAAAAGACACCAGTCAAAAAGACAACAGTCTGCGACAAAGGTCTCATTCCAAATTCTAAGGACCAATACACAAAAAGAAACAACAGGCAAATGAGCATTTAAGAATGTAAAACACACTCAGCCTTAATCCTGTTCGAATGCTTCAACAGACACCAACAAACCTGAATGATGCCCAGTGGTGGTTCTATCTTGAATGACACCCTGGGCAAGACCCCCTTCGAACACAAACTGTTATGTTTTATTATAACAACATAAGTGAAGCAGAGAATTAGATTTCTCGATTGCACAAATCCTTCATTAGAACAACTGGATTTAACTATTGCACTTGGAACAGGAAACACACTTTTTAAGGTGCACAATCTCCACCTCCAACATTGCCAAAAGACAATGAGCACAGTTCTGCACAAAATATGACAATATAAATTATCAGAACATAGAGAACCTTGGTGACCACATAATCGTTTTGTATTACCTATTTTTGTTAGCCATTTCACACAATTCAGAAGAACAAAAATGTGCATGAACTATAGCCTGTATTTATTATATTATAAATGAAATGTGCGTTATTTGGAAGAAAGTCGAGGTGTGAGTGACTTACCGTTCCCCCCTTGTCCGTTCCATTAGGGAGACCCAGAGGTGAACTGTCCCCCGCCCCCCTTCCCCTTTTCACACAGCTTCTGTGCACGGCACCTTCTCAGCAAGCAGGGGCGCTTGCAGTTGTAGGGGGTGCCAATTTGCCAATTCCCCACACAGTGATATGATAGAACAGATACATAATAGAGAAACGTTTTGCAGCGCAGAGGATTTCTTTTTTTTTAAGTGCTTGTGCCGCCCCCCATGTGTCATAAAAAAATGCCGCCTTGGCGGCTGCCTGCTTCACCCATGCCCCAAACCCCTACTGGTGATGCCTCAGGTACCAAGGTAGCTTTGAACAGAGCACAGTGCTGGTTTAAAACCTTTACCTAACAGAGTCTATGTTATTGGATGGATAGCATAAATTGAGCTTAACAAAGTTGAGTCATCCATCCACAAGTAATGACCTTCAAAGCTCCATACTAGTCACACCTTTGAGCCTCATTCAAGCACAATGTCACAGACCGTGAGCCTCATTAGACACAACAACTCTTCAGAAAGACGGAGCAAATATATTGAGATATAGCATTCTTACCCTTCATGCCAAACTTAGAGCGTGGTCCATACTTGTTGATGAGAAGAAAGAGAACCAACAGCATCACACAGGCAAACCCTGCCAGGCCTACTGCTATAGAGACCTACAGTCCAGAAGGGGAAAGAAGGTGAGAGGAAAATACTGTTAGGCAAATAATCACAGACTCACAGGTTTAGCTTATTTTTGCACCCTGAGGACATCAGTAGGCCTTAAGGTTGGTGATGTTGGTTGGTCTGGACCCCTGTGGTCTTTCCTGCTGCCACCATCTGATCAAAATATCCCATTGGACACAAGGAATTTCCATATAAAAACTTTTTTCAGATTTTCATCCACCCTATACGACAATATCTGTGTGTCATACACAAATGCACTTGGATTTAAAGATAAATGAATAGAGGCATTTATATTTATCTTAATTGAGAAGCAAACCTTGAACGCAGAAATATGTAGTGCAGTGAAACTGCCTCTACCCATTCTTTTACCTCCTAATGAGTGTTTGTTTACTGCAAAGACTTTCTTTGTTTAACTGTAATGTTTTCAATATTTAACCTTTATCTGCGCTACAGATATTACAAAAGCACGTTACAAAAATAATCATCAATAAATAACGATTTACCTGAAATTAAGAAGTAACTTGGCTGCATGCACTAATATTATGGCCTGCAGTGCTAGAAACAAAATTTCTTTATGTAGCTTTAATTGCAGAAATTATATATTATTACAATAGTGCACTAATTTAAATTTCTTAGCGGAATTTGTATTATTTTTATGATGTGTGTGGAATGGTGAAATTTAGTTTTTGCCCTTAATAACAAACATTTCCTAATCTTGGGCAGGTTTTGAATCATGCATTGACTGTCATGTTGTGGCTGTTCAGCAGCCACACAGATTACAGTCATCAAAATAAAGAATATAAGAACAATAAAAGAAAGAAAAATAAAACAGGAAAAAATTTGTAATAAAGTAGTAAGCTCCTTCCTTTGTTGTTTTAATTAATAAACTTGACATGAGACTTTGACTAGTCCTTTAAAGTGGTTCAGTCCCAAAATACTCACTGACCACTTTTCACAAGCACTGGATGTCAATCAGTTTTTCAATAAACAAGCTCAGTTTGCAATTCTTCTCAATAATTGTCTGTTAATTCTCAGTACATACAAAAGTCCCCACTTGTACTGTATAGAATGACTGGCTGGTACATAATGACACAAGTTCCCACTTAGAGCATAGCATAGAATGACATTTATACTCCAGCATGGATGAATAAGAAAAACCAAAAAATGTTTATTTTTTGTGAAGTAGTAAGTAAATTGTCTTTTGCAACATAATAATATTATTTGTAACAAAACAATAAGGCTCAACTGATGTGGATTTCCTAACTAGTTTGTAGCATCAGATTGTATTAAAATGAAGGGCTGTCCAGAAGGCAGAGTAGTAATAAGTAGCAAAGTTTAAAGTAATTTAAAAAGAAAACAAAAAAACAGGATAAAACCAGGAATTAAATGAGCAGCAACAAGATCCTTTCTTTTTAGTTTTAATTAATAAATGGTTCCCACTTGTACTGTATAGAATGACAGGAGTCCACTGTTGGCTGGTACATAATGACACAAGTTCCCGCTTAGATAGCATTCTTAGGAGAAAGTAATAATCTGAACTAAATATAATATAATCTGTAGTGATATTTTTTGATTTTTTTATTAAAGTGGCACCAACAATGTTGTCATTGTAGCTTTTTGAAATGTGGAGTGTATTGTGAAAACATAATCACAACCTATCATGACTTATTTTGGACATATCTAAGGGACAGGTCAGCTAGAGGATAGATTAACCCCACAAAGTAAGTAAGTAAAGCTTTATTATATAGCACCTTTTTGACACCTATGAGATCCCAAGTGCTTTAGAAACAACAAATAAACATGAGGGTATAACCATACCCAATCAAACAAACATAGGGAGCATGTAAATACAAAGGAAGATAAAACAAGGGGGAAAGAATATATTAAAAGAGAGACTACAGATGAGGAAACAAACAAGAGATCTATAAAAAGGCTTGCCTGTAGAGGTGGGTTTTGAGCAGCTGCTTAAAACAGTCCAAAGATTCAGTGAATCCGAGTGATTGGGGAAGACTATTCCACAATGTTGGGGCTAAATCAGCAAAGGCACGGTCACCTTTAGATTTACAGTTAGAGCAGGGAATGGATAAAAGGCAGAGATTTGAGGAGCGAAGAGCCGAGAAGTGGAATGAGGAACAAGGAGATCTAAAATGTAACTGGGGGCAAGGTCATGAAATGCCTTATATGTAATCAGTAAGATCTTATAATTGATTCAGAATTTTACCGGAAGCCAATGAAGGGATGCGAGAACAGGAGTATTGTGGGACCGACGGCCTGGTTCTGGTTAAAAGTCTGGCTTCATAGCTACAGGAAACAGGACAGTTTTGTGACATGAAGGTCAAATGTCATTCTTAGCGGTGGGTTTGATATTAGTGCGTAGTGGTCCAATAAACTGATCAACTGCAGTGACGAAGTTTCAGAGCCAAATAAAATTATTTCAGTTTTGTCAGGATTTAAGTGGAGAATATTAAGAGACATCCAGTCTTTGGTGGCAGCTAAGCACTCATGGAGAGAGGAAAGTTGATTCAGGTTATTGGGTTTTGCAGAAAAGTAGATCTGTGTATCATCGGCATAACAGTGGTATGACATGTCATGGAAGCGGCTGAACAAATGACCCAGAGGAAGCATGAACAGGGAGAACAGAACTGGACCAAGAACTGACCCCTGAGGGACACCACAGCAGAGGAGGACACATGATTGTTAATGCAGACATTAAAGACTCTTTTAGACAAATAGGAATGAAACCAGTTTAAAGCTGTACCAGAAATGCCAACCCAGTTCTGTAATCTAAATGGCATGGGGTATGGAGTATGGTTTTACGCATATTATCAACAAAATAAAAAAACAGGAATTTTTGACAGTCAGCACGAGAGGAGGCATGGATAGCAGGAGGAGATGGAGATACAAGCTGGTTGATAGTAGTAAACAAAAACCTTGGGTTATGTCTATTGCTAACAATCAGATCAGAAAAGTAGGAAGCTTGCGCATCTTTAATAGTCTGGTTCAAATTAAACAGTAGTTCCCTCATGTAGAGGTGGTGGACTTCAAGTTTGTGCTTTTTCCAATTTCGCTCGGCCTTCCTATATTCCCTTCTTTGTTGTCTAATGTTGTTGTTGATCCAAGGAGTTTTATTAATAACTGGGACAGCACTGGATGTATATGGAGCGGAAAAATCAAGGGCTGATGTACAGAAATGATTCAACCAGCTAATTTGATCATTAATATTGAAAAAGTGAGGAGGAGAATTAGCCAGACTAGAAAAATGGCTACAAAATGTGGCTGCTGACTGATTATTAAAGACGCAAGAGTGGATTATACGTTTCTGTGATGGTGAAGCAGTTATAAAATTTGTATCAAAAGTAATACATTTGAGGTCAGAGACAAAATCATGCATAATCAGGGAACTGACAGACAGATCCAGAGTAAAAACTAAGTTGAGGTTGTGCCCACGGTTATGTGTAGGGCCTGAGACATGTTGCACAAGGTTAAAAGATTTACAAATGTAACTCTCAAAGTATCTTCCCCAAAACTCCAGAGAAGATGTGTCACCAAAGGCCAGCAGTGTGTGGCACATGTTTAACCCAGGACAGGAGAATACCAATGTCTCACTCAGTCTAAATTAGATATAACATCTTGCCTATGACAACTGCAATACAATTAAATTATAATTTATTTATATAGTGCCAAATCCTACCAGAAGTTATCTTAGGACACTTTTCATGAAGAGCAGGTCTACACTGTACTCTTTATGACATTTAGAGAGAGAAGTCCCACCATGAGCTAGCAACAGAGTGAAAAAACTAATAAGTTAACAACCTTGAAGCCCAATGTGAAAGGGCTGAACGACTGTCGTCAGTTACCCAGACACCCTCTCCCAAACTGCAGACCAACAAGGAGTGAAAGAGATACTATGGAACAGATTAACACTCCTCACCCACATCAAGTCTCTCACTTCTCGAAGGCAGCTCACCTGAATACAACCTTAAAAGATGAAGAGCTGATGGTTTATGTCCACATCATAAACTCAAGACAATTTACAAATTACTTCCTAAAAAGCTGTGTGTAAATGTAATTAAGTCATAGATAGTACATAGATAATAAATAATTTACATGGTTACATGTATTCTGTGTTAACAGGGTTAGGGCTATAGTTTGACATTGTAATAAATATATATTTTTTAATCTTTAATTTATGTATTTGATTATTCAAAGATCAGTGCCACTCTCATATTTGTTGGCTTAATACAGATAAAAACAAAAGAGAAAAATAACTCAACACAAATCAAAACCATAATGGTTCTGATGGCCAGGTTTCCCCCCTGTTTCCAGTCTTTATGTTAAGCAAAGCTTTCTGGCTGCTGTCTCTAATTTAAAATTTAGACATGAGAATGTCATATAAGCTTCTCATATAAGCCTCAGCAAATAAAGTCAGGGGAAATTTTAAATGTTGAATACTCACTGTAATTTTACATAGTGTGCAGTTATGATGTTAAAATTATACAGATGTAGATGCAGTAATTGTTTTCAAATCAAGACTTTTCTTAATCCAAACCTTTCAAGTAACAATGCATATCATCAAGTGTTAGAATTGCCGAGTTAGTGGGTGCCCGGTTAGCTCAGTCGGTAGAGCTGGCGACCCATATACACAGCGGTCCAGGTTCAAATCTGACCTGCGGCCCTTTGCTGCATGTCATCCCCCCCTCTCTGTGCCCCCCCCATCCAAAAACAAAGGCCAAAAACAAATGCTTTAAAAAACAGAATTGCTGAGTTAGGATTGGTAGTTTGTGGTGACAGTTGCAATATTTGTTAAACTTGTATCATACTTAACCCTGTAGGCGCTGGGTTTTATTTTAAAAAATACTAGATTTTGACATCTAAATTTCAGGAGGCTCTGGCTTGAAAGTGGTTTGAGATAGAGACAAAGTGTAAATGAGACAAATATTGAGAATGACCTAAAGTTTATCTAGGGAGTCAATCTTCCCATCTAATTTGC